CGGCCCTCATAGCCGACTTCCACCGGAAGAACCCGAACGCCCCTCGCCGCCTCAACACTGCTATCTTTGGTGGTCTCAACTTCCAGCCAATGCCTTCGCCGCTGACTGAAGCACGCTGCCGCTCCGGGTGGGAGATGGGCAAGGGCGCCTCGCATGAGGTCATGCGCCGTTGAGGGGAGGGTAATGTCACGAGTTGGTATGGTGTCTAGCTGTTTTTCAATTTTTTCCTTTTCGCGGGCTCGAACCCGTGACCTCTGTACTACCTGCTTGATATGGACGTGTCATTATCTACTGTACGATTAGATTAGATAGGACGGCAGTGCACGGCACAGCTCGGGCTCCGCTGACACAGCTGCTCTGACTCACCGGCCCCCGGGGCCGTGTCGGCATGCTGTGCACAGACCAGCTGCACACGGACCAGTGCGCACAGCCTGCCCTTATCCTCCCCTGTATATAAGCTGGCCTCTGCTGCCCTAGGGACCTCAGTTTTGACCTCTTGTCCCTAGGTCAGTAAGCCTTCACTTGTATTCTTTCTTACCTTACTAACTAATACATCTTGTTGTCCCTAGCCTTAGGTTTGAGCCCAGCTCGCCATCGCTTCGGTAAGAACTAAGTCGAACGCCCCCAGCGCCTTTGTTTGGTTTTCCCCTGTCACTTGACCCTAAGTCGCGACACCCCGGCAGTTGTTTCGGCTGCGGGAAGCAAGGGTACTGACGTTTTGAGTGCCCCAACTGTAAGGACAAGCCTTACACAAAACATGCCAACGCGCGGGCTACAGTTGCCTCGGGTTCCACCCAGGCGGCGACAAGCGCCCCCGTCGCTTCATCCTCGGCGAGTACAAGCACCGCTTCAGTGAAATCGGAAAGTTCCGAGCTGGCAGACTTGATAGCACAGATGAAGTCGATGCGCGAGGAGTTGGAGCACTATCGAGCGCTCAAGGAAGAGTCTTTTTGATCCGGTCCGCGCTTCATGCCGCAGGCGTCGGGCCACGTAATAATAACATGTACAATGTATTGGCTACTGCGAATGTTTACAAATTGGACCACGGGTCCCAGCACTTCCACATTCCAGTACGCCTCAAAGGAGAAAGATGGCACAAAGATATAGTTGCAATGGTGGACAGCGGAGCCACTACGTAGTTCATCAACAAGTGTTTCATCACGGAGAATTGAGTGCAAACGCGGAAGTTAAAAGAACCAATTCCGCTTTACAATATCGATGGGACGCTCAATAAGGACGGAAACATCTCGGAAGTAGCCGTACTTCAGATGCAGATAGGAGAACACGTCGAGAAGACAGTGTTTACGGTCACGGACATAGGTCTGGAAGATATAATTGTTGGGTTGGATTGGCTGTGAGAGCACAACCCTGAAATCAATTGGGAAACGGGCTCCCTAAAGCTATCACGATGCCCTGAAACATGCAGTGCCAGAAGGACTGGCCGAATGGAGCAAGCAATGGTTGCACGTGATATGGGGGTCAGGCCCATGGCACGCAGGCATTCGCCGAAGTCCAAACGGTCGGTCATAGGCGCCTACCGGAGCAAGGTGCTCCCAGACTTCGAACCCGAAGAAGATCCGGTAGAGGTCGAGTGGGATGAAGCTGACTTGATCGAGGCCTGGGAGCAAGGTATCATGCTTCCCAGTGCCCCTCAGCTGTTCATTGCAGCAGGGCATACATACTCCCAGCTGTTTGCTGAGGAGGAGATCAAGAAGAAGGTCATTAAGACCGCCGAGGAGTCGGTGCCCAAGCAGTACCACAAGTTTCTGAAGGTCTTCTCAAAGGAAGCATCAGAACAGCTACCTGAAAGGAAGCCATACGATCATGCGATCGAACTCGTGCCTGGTTATTCCACATTCCATTCAAAGGTGTACCCCCTGTCGAACAATAAGCAGGAGGAACTTGACAAGTTCCTCAAGAAGCAGCTGGCGAAAGGCTACATACGGGAGTCGAAATTGCCCATCTTGGCCCCTTTTTTCTTCATCAAAAAGAAGGAAGGGACGCTTCGACCCATACAGGACTACCGCCAGTTGAATGCGATCACCGTCAAAAATCGCTACCCCTTGCCGCTGATCGCCGAGATGGTAGATAAGCTCCACGGTGCCACGCTCTTTACCAAGTTCGATGTCCGATGGGGATACAACAACGTCCAGATCAAAGCTGGTGACGAGTGGAAGGTGGCCTTTGTAACTAACCAGGGGCTGTACAAACCCCTGGTGATGTTCTTCGGCCTCACCAACTCCCCTGCCACTTTCCAGGCCATGATGAACGAGATCTTCCATGATCTCATCGTCGGCAGAAAGATCCTGGTGTACCTAGATGACATACTCATCTTCTCCACCAACAAAGAGGAGCATGAGAAGGTCACACACAAGGTTTTTCGTCGCCTTCAGGACAATGATCTGTTCCTGAAGCCCGAGAAGTGCGAATGGGATGTTCCCAAGGTTGACTACGTTGGCTATGTGTTTGGTGGTGATGAGGTAGCGATGGATCCCGCGAAGCTGAAAGGAATTAATGAGTGGCCGGTACCCCGGAACAAAAAAGACATTCAGAAGTTCCGGAGGTTCTCCAACTTCTACTGCCACTTCATTAAGGACTTTGCTAAGATCTCGCGACCACTCGACCGGCTCACAGGGAACGACCCATGGCATTGGGGCAAAGAGGAGCAGCACGCCTTCGACGAGCTCAAGCAGCTCTTCGCGACGACTCCCGTTCTAGCGCTGTACGATCCTAACCGGGAGACGCGAATCGAAGTCGATGCCTCAGGATACGCCACTGGTGGCGTGTTGATGCGGAAGCAGGATGACGGCAAGTGGCATCCCATTGCATTCTGATCTCATGCTATGGACCCAGCCCAGCAAAACTACGAGATCTACGATAAGGAAATGCTCGCGATCATTGAGGCATTGGACGATTGGCATCATTATCTGGAAGGACTACCCAATCAGTTCGAGATTGTGACTGACCATAAGAACCTCGAGTACTGGCGTACATCCCAGCATCTCACGCATCGCCAAGCATGCTGGTCACTATTCCTGGCTTGTTTTAACTTCCACATCACGCACAAAGCCGGGATGTCGAATGGAAAGGCTGATGCCCTGTCATGTCAATCAGACCATCAGATCGGCAATGAGGATGATAACACCGATCAGGTGGTTCTCAAGCCAGAGCACTTCCGCATCGCCTTGTGTCGCGGAATTACTGGTGGCCTGGGATGTCCAAATTCGTCAATGAGCACGTAAGCACCTGCGACGTGTGCAACCGTACCAAGACATTCCCAGCCAAACCCCAGGGTCCGCTGAAGCCGAACGAAATCCCCGAGCGCCCGTGGCAGATCATCACGACCGATATGATCGTCGGCTTGCCAAAGTCTAATGGATTCAACTCGATCCTGGTTACCGCCGACCGCTTCACAAAGCAGGTCCACTTCCCAGCCTGTTATGAGACCCTGATGGCAGAAGGTGCGGCAGACCTGTACATCCGCGATGTGTTCAAGCATCATGGGGCCCCGGCCAAGGTCATATCAGACCGCGGTCCCCAGTTTGCTTCGAAGTATCTCCATGCGGTGTACAAGGGGCTGGGGATCGAGCCGGCACTGTCCACAGTGTTCCACCCCCAGACGGATGGCCAGACTGAGTGCTGGAACCAGGAGATTGAGCAGTACCTGTGCGCTTTCACGAGCCATAGGCAGGATGATTGGGCGAAGCAATTGCCACTTGCGGAATTCACACTGAACAACCGAGTTCACTCCGCGACTGGGCATTCCCCATTCTTCCTGCATCAGGGGTACCATCCTGAGATCCAGGTTTGGATCAATCCGATGTCTGCAATGCCCGCTGCTGCCGATCGGCTTAAGATCCTGAAGGAGATTCGCAATGATACGCGCTCTGCGCTTGAGCTGTCAGCCGAGCACATGAAAGTGTACTACAACAAGCACGTGCAGGAGGCACCAGTCTTTGTGCCGGGGGACAAGGTCTGGCTTGATGCCCGGAACCTTAAGCTGAAACAGCCGAGCAAGAAGCTCAGTCCCAAGCGCCTTGGACCTTATGCCGTGCGGCGAAAGCTCGGAGATTTAGACTACGAATTGGTTCTGCCGAAGTCGGTGCCAGTGCACCCGGTGTTCCATGTCTCCTTGCTTAGCAAGTACACGTGTAGCGAGATCCCGGGCCGGGAGCCGGAGGAGCCACCTGCGATCGAGGTTGAGGGCGACGAGGAGTATAAGGTTGAGCAGATCAAAGATTCGAGGATCTTCCGGCGTCAGCTGCAGTACCTCGTCAAGTGGAAGGGTTATGACGATTTGCATACGTCATGGGAACCAACACGCAACATCGCCAATGCGCCGGCCCTCGTAGCCGACTTCCACCAGAAGAACCCAAACGCCCCTCGCCGCCTCAACGCCGCTATCTTTGATGATCTCAACTTTCAGCCAATGCCTTCGCTGCTGACAGAAGCACGCTGCCACTCCGGGTGGGAAATGGGCAAGGGCGCCTCGCATGAGGTCATGTGCCATTGAGGGGGGGGGTAATGTTACGAGTTGGCATGGTGTCTAGCTGTTTTTTAATTTTTTCCTTTTCGCGGGCTCAAACCCGCGACCTCTGTACTACATGCCTGATATGGACACATCATATCTACTGTACGATTAGATTAGATGGGGCGGCAGTGCGCGGCACAGCTCGGGCTCTGCTGACATAGCCGCTCTGACTCACCGGCCCCCAGGGCCGCGTCAGCATGCTGTGCATGGACCAGCTGTGCACGGACCAGTGTGCACAGCCTGCCCTTATCTCCCCATGTATATAAGCCAGCCTCTGCTGCCCTAGGGACCTCAGTTTCGACCTCTTGTCCCTAGGTCAGTAAGCCTTCCTTTGTATCTTTTCTTTACTTCACTAACTAATATATTATCTTGTCCCTAGCCTTAGGTTTGAGCCTAGCTCACCATCGCTTTGGTGAGATAAGTCGAATGCCCCCAGCATTTGGTTTTTCCCCTGTCACTCGACCCTAAGTCACAACACCAACTCTACTTGTGCTGCTGCCTCGTCGTTGAGATTACCGAAGGGAGCCTTGAAGGTGGCAGTGAAGGCTGCTTTGTTCCTGAAAGGGGTTGTAACCCCTTGTACACCCATCTGCACCGATGCGAGCTGGGAGAAGTAGGGAGTGGCCCAGGCACGGGCATCACCATCAAGCAGGCTCAACGCAATCTGCACCTTGAGTTCGATGGTTGTCAACGACGTGTTGATCAACCAATAGATGCGGAGTTGCAACAGGAACCTGTTGCATTTGATGACGGTTTTGCCATCATATTGGAGTGGGAGGAGGAGCTTCAGGGTCTCCTTGTCAGGGGCAATTGCGGGCGAGGACATTATTGGTGGCGGGGGGACAGAGGATGGCGCAGGGGCGGAGGCGGCTGTGGTGGCCCTCCGCTGGTCGGACTTCGAAGGGAGCAAGTGTGTGGGCGGCGACAACGGTGAAGGTGCTGGAGGAAGCCCGGGGGAGAGGTCACGTATGTCAGGGACTGCTAATGTGGGGGCGAGTGCTGTTGGCAAGGTGGGCCGAGCAGGATTCGCGGACTTGGACTCCAAGACTCCTTCTTCACTCACACTCTCTTTAGACTCAGGCTCTGGCGCAAGGTCTGGAGGGAGATCTCCTCGCGCTTGACTTGGACCAGCAACAGTTTGGGGAAGGCGGGAGCTGGGGGAGACAGGGTGAGAGTGCCGCGAGGCAGATTGGGATGCGAGGGTGCTACGGGGACCGAGTGGGTGTTGGGCCCTTCTGATCGTCTTGTAGTGCGGGTAATCTTGCGCGACTGATTGGGGTGTCCAGTTGGGGCACGGCTGCTGTTTGCAAGTGTAGATGATAGTTTCAGGGCCATCTGGGATGTAGACGTCAACGAGATCCTAAGAGTCGAAGGCGTGAACTTGGCCTTGATAGGCAGCCACGATGGAGGGGGGTAGAACGGGGAGGTGCGTGTACTAAAAATGGCCGTACTAAGCTAGCTTACGCTATGGCGCCCGAGGTCACACTAGTGTCGCGACTTGAGGTCAAGCGACAGGAAAATACCTAGAAGCGAGGGGCGTCCGACTGGTTCTCACCGAAGCGATGGTGAGCGAGGCTCAAACCTAAGGCTAGGGACAAGTAAGTTAGTATTGAATAAGTAAGTAAGTACAGGGGCTTACTGACCTAGGGACAAGAGGTCGAAACTGAGGTCCCTAGGGCAGCAGAGGCAGGTTTATATACAGGGGAAGTTTAGGGGAGGCTGTGCGCGTTGGTCCATGCGCACTGGTCCGTGCACAGCATGCCGACGCGGCCCCGGGGGCCGGTGAGTCAGAGCGGCTGTGTCAACGGAGCCTGGGCTGTGCCGTGCACTGCCGCCCCATCTAATCTAATCGTACAGTAGATAGCGACGTGTCCGTATCAGGCAAGTAGTACAGAGGTTGCGGGTTCGAGCCCGCGAAAAGGAAAAAATTAAAAAACGGCTAGACGCCGTACCAACTCGTGACAACTAGGGTTCGCAATTCACATGGGGCCCAGTACTGCTTTTGGCTAGTATGCAGCAGGAACCTAGTCCACGCATCCGTGAGGATAAGTACCACCCACTAAAGTGCAGGTACTGAAAAGTTCGTTCCCTTAGTGGTGGCAATATATAGTATGCTTATCTACGTATCGTAGGGTACAGTAAGGGTGCGCACCACCCAACCTATAGGAAAGGAATGTGAGTTTGTGGGAGTCCCGATGGAACACCGGTAGCTATGGGGAGTTTCGACCAAATGTCGCGACTTGAGGTCAAGCAACTGAGGGAAGCCTAAAAGCTGGGGGCGTTTGACTGATTTTCACCAAAGCGATGGTGAGCGATGCTCAAACCTAAGGCTAGGAACAAGAAAATGTATTAGTTAGTGAAGTAAAGAAAAGATACAAAGGAAGGCTTACTGACCTAGGGACAAGAGGTCGAAACTGAGGTCCCTAGGGCAGCAGAGGCCGGTTTATATACAGGGGAAGATAAGGGCAGGCTGTGCACACTGGTCCATGCACAGCTGGTCCGTGCACAGCATGCCGACGCGGCCCCAGGGGCCGGTGAGTCAGAGCGGCTATGTCAGCGGAGCCCAAGCTGTGCCGCGCACTGCCGCCCCATCTAATCTAATCGTACAGTAGATAGTGATGCGTCCATATCAGGTATGTAGTACAGAGGTCGCAGGTTCAAGCCCATGAAAAGGAAAAAATTAAAAAATGGCTAAACGCCGTACCAAGTCATGACAGCCATGCAGTATAGGATTGGCAGCTGTTGAGTCCTAAATGCCATGATTGGTCTCTTTTTTCCACCAACTTTCCTTGTACGACACACCTGAATGAATAATCAATGCTGATACTGTCGCGACTTAGGGTCGAGCGACAGGGGAAAACCAAACGCTGGGGGCGTTCGACTTATCTTACCGAAGCGATGGTGAGCTGGGCTCAAACCTAAGGCTAGGGACAAGAAATGTATTAGTTAGTAAAGGGTAAGTAAGGATACAAGTGAGGGCTTACTGACCTAGGGACAAGAGGTCGAAACTGAGGTCCCTAGGGCAGCAGAGGCAGGCTTATATACAGGGGGAGTTTAGGGGAGGCTGTGCGCGTTGGTCCGTGCGCAGCTGGTCCGTGCACAGCATGCCGACGCGGCCCCAGGGGCCGGTGAGTCAGAGCGGCTGTGTCAGCGGAGCCCGAGCTGTGCCGCGCACTGCCATCCTATCTAATCTAATCGTACAGTAGATAACGACGCGTCCATATCAGGCAGGTAGTACAGAGGTCACGGGTTTGAGCCCGCGAAAAGGAAAAATTAAAAAACGGCTAGGCGCCGTACCAACTCGTGACATTACCCCCCCCTCAACGGCGCATGACCTCATGCGAGGCGCCTTTGCCCATCTCCCATCCGGTAGTTATCCCAAGGAGGAAATATCTGTGGATAATTGTGTTAGCACGGGCAATTGTCGTATATCAATGCAAGTGGCACACAGAGCTGAGACTCAGCAGAATAGATATTAACTTTTTGTAGGACCAGAAGACGTGGTCATGACTCGAAGATGGATATTGGAACTCACCAGCGGACTTTTTCGCTCACGTTCGTTTGTGGTTCGCCGATGCGGTATACGACTGGCGAATGAGACGCTGAATGAACTCCAACAGAAGAATGTGCGTGTTGTGAAGTGACCGTTTCGCGGTTGTGGAGTATCAAGGGGTCGACCATTGGGCCTGCAGGCTGCAGCGGTGCATTCGAAAGGACTCATGCCACACCGTCTCGTACGCGCAGCCTTTCGAGACAGGATAGGCAAAGCTTGCATTTCCAAATGGTCTGCATATAGTTTCCAAATCCAGGCTGCATACCTCGACACTAACTCCGAAAGAGGATTCTGGTGTCGGCACACTAGAATAACCCAACCGGTCTCATGCTGGAGCGCCGGAGCCTTCGAGGGGGGTGGGGGTGTTGTCCTTCTAGTTCGTTCTTCTACTGCATTAGATCGGAAAATCAGTAAATGGAGGGTGGGTCGCTGATTCATACTCCTCGACGAGTCAAGTAACTGTCATCTCCACGCCTATAAGCTTCCAGAGATGGTTGGTCATCTTACGAGTAGCGTCTCTTATAACTCACTGTGCGTTAGTGTATTCCTTGGAAACAGGCCATAGCCGGGATAAACCTTGAAGTGTGTTCGTGAACACATAGCTATCGCTGTGGTAAACGCTCAGAGGCTAAAATGTCAACGTTCATCGCCGTGTGAGACCGGCACCGCGAACCTCTTAGCTGATGGGCCTTGACGGCAGCGCCGACCGGATAAGATATGTAAGAGCACTAGCATACAGGCACAAATGTACGACTGACCCAGACATCAAGACTTTACTGTTCCCGACACCGCTCTGGCCCTTCCGCTTGCACAAGTGCCAACCTCGTCCGTAATTGTTTCCGTTTCCTCTGCCATCACAGCTTCAGGATGCTCGTCTGCTTCTACATCCTCCGCGCGCGCTCCGTCAACAGGCTGCACGTCCTCCTCCTGGTTGATCAGCTCGCGTGCCTTCGTCATGAGCTTAGATACTGTTCGCCGCTTCTTCGGCGAGGACGCGGGATCAGGCTTCGAGGGCGACTTGCGCTTCAGTGGCATGGGATCGGCGGCAACTTCGGTTTCGGCTTGCGATGCGGTGACGTTCGTCACCGTGCGTCTTCGCTTCGGCGCAAGCTTCATCGGTGACGACGTAGGTGTCCTCATGGTGGACGCCGCTTCTCCGTATTCTCCGATAGCATTCGGTGTGAGCTCGTCCACGCCCTCTTGCGTCACGTTCGTCTTCGTCCTCTTTCCGCGCGTCTTCGCCCTCGTCTCGCGCGCATCATCTTCGTTTACCTCCTCAGCGGCATCCTCTCCATCGCCCTAATCGTCCTCGGCAGCTACGCATCCCTTCCCGCGGATGAACGGTTTCGGCGGGTTCTCCGGGCGCAGATTCGCATGAATAACGGGTTCGAGGCCGTATATGCGGTATAGGTGGAACACGGCCTGTTCCTTGTCCTTCGCCTACATCAATCGGTCAGAATTGCTCGGACGTCGGAATAAGGGACGCAGATGGAGACCTCAATCATTAAATCGACGTCGCCGCCAACAAGGACTTCGGGCAGCTCCTGGCACCGGTCAGCGTGCGCGCGCTTCTCCATGATGCTCTCTGCGCCCGGACGCGGCTCGCTGAGGTGCTGCTTTTGTCGGATGCCCTTCCGCGTCCATGTTGCTGCAATGCGAGGCAAGAGCTCCGGAAATGGGAGCACACTCGGCTGGCATACGCATCAGTCGGCATGCAACCATCAGGTGTGAGTAAAACATACATTTATCCAATTGTGGTGATAATCCAGCTGTGAGAAGCGCAGGGTAAGTGACGTATTGGTATGAATTCTAGCGCAACGTACCACCATGGGGATGCTCAGCTCCTCGCATATAGGGAGCAGCTCGTCTGGGTTGTAACATATCTCGTCATTCTCGAGTACCAGCCGCGCCTTCATCTCGTCCGTGAGCTTCGTGGTGTAGTTCTCGCGGAAACGCGCGAGCGCACCGTCCTTGTCGCCGTACACGCCCTGCAGGCACAAATGCATTACCACGGTGACACGGGACCGGTCGCCACAAAGATTGTAACACACCCCCATATGGATGATGATCACACTGTCCTGGTCGAGATCCATGTAGCGCATCATCTGACAATGATCTGTTGAGACAATGGATAATCAGCATACTTTGCGACCGCCGGAGTACAGACACAGGCGCAT